CTATTCTTCTCGCACATTTTGTAAGTATTTGAGCAAGAATCCAGTACAATTTTTTGTAAATGTCATTTCATCTTTCACTGCTATTTTTGTATCCAGATATAGATGTTTGTATTGCCACCAGTCCCTGCGGCGTTGGGACCTGCACCACTGAAGGCGGTCCCTCCTACAACTGTACTTGTCCCAGTGGCTATTACTTTAACGGAACGACATGTGTAGGTACGGGATTGTTATTGTAAGAGGACGATTTTCACATAAATTGACTCACGCAACTTTCATGTTGGCAAAATAAACGAAAAATAAAGAAGGCTCTAAAAACTTGAAACATATCATTTACTTTGATCGTCTACATCATAATTGACAATGCACTCCAGATATTAATATTTGGTTTGTATTTTAGGCCTTATAAACGATTTCGGTGTTTGAAAACTCGAGCCTCAAATTTGTGAGCTCAAATGCCCAAATTAACGACACGAGCCACGAATTACTATTCCCAACATAAAATCAGTAGCCACGAGTACGAAGGGGAAAAATATCACTCTTATACGACTAGGAATTTATGAAAGCTCTAACGTGCCGTTTTCGGGATCTTCCACCTCATTCAAATTACTAGTCTAGGGTTGAAAAAAACTGGTATCTATACAGCCAGACACCCAAATGGAAGCCGGTCGAATTGTTCGTGTGGTACGACGCTGTGACTAATTTTATGTTTGGGTACTCTTTTTTTGGCTCGAGTAGTTAATTTGGCATTTGTTCTCCTTCTTCTAATACTTGTCACAGCGAACGGCAATTATCGTTTATGAAGCCTGTCGTTGCATGAAGCTTTATTTTTTTAATTGATATACTCTTCCACTTTTCATCCGCCGTCGTTTAGCTTCATTTTAGTAGACGAATTACAATTTCTACCATTTTAATTTTCAAATCACATCTTGGCATTTTCAGAACACACTAACTGCACGTACATTCCATGTGGAGTAGGAGTGTGTGCTTCATCTATCAATGACACCTATTCCTGCGCATGCCCAGTAGGTTACTCCGCTCCTGCGACAGGGGGTTCTTGTGAAGGTAAGATAGACTATACTTTTCTGCTTGTGACATTTACAATAAAAAAGATGACAATTTCGGCTTTGAACACCCATTGTGCCATAGTCGAGTAAAGTTCTTCTACAATCAACACGCCTGTGTGTTCTTATTATACAAGTGATACCCCGGATATTGTACAAGTGTCAAAAACATGGGCGGTTTTTCATATACTTTTTTCAGAACTTTCGACTGATGATTTATTTCAAATTCATATCAACCTTTCTTTATTTAACCTTTATAGGGCAGTTTAAGGCGATCCAACATACTCTTTGTATATGCGGCATTGTTACCGTTTTTCGCATTTTCCTTGCAGGTGTGCCGTATTTATGTGTCCAGCGTGTGAATAAATACATATATATTTTTGTGAAAAAAATACCGAGGAGGCCTCGCTGCATTATCATCCCAAGTCATTCGTTTACTGAAAATATACGTTAAAAGTGAAATAATCTGTGTTTCAGACGATGATGAGTGCCAGGCCAATCCCACTGTATGTGACGGAAATGCCACGTGCACCAATACTCCGGGTTCTTTCTTTTGCACATGCAATGAGGGCTTCACCGGTTATGGTCGCCTATTTTGTGACGATATAGATGAATGTGCAGCCGTTCCCGGGTACTGCAGTGAAAACGCCACCTGTACCAACTCAGTCGGGTCTTATGACTGTGAATGTAGCGCTGGTTTCTCTGGCAACGGCCTTTACTGTGTTGACTTAGACGAGTGCGAAGAGGGCCAACACTCCTGTCATCAGTACGCGCAGTGTACGAACACATACGGCTCTTACTTCTGTACTTGTGCCTCGGGTTTCGACGGAGACGGAGCCACAAACTGCACGGACCGTGACGAGTGCGCTCTGGAACTATACACGTGTGGCGACCACGCCGAATGCTTCAATACGATTGGGTCATATACCTGCCGGTGTCAGCATAACTTCACTGGAGATGGCTTTACTTGCACAAGTAAGTTTTTTTTTGTGATGGTGTTATGTTAATAACTTGCATTATTGATAGCCTTTTCATTCAGATATTTTATATAAGATAAAATCATTAGCCTTTGTGCTGTTGTAGGCCTACTCCCCGTGTGTTCTTCTTTGCAGTGCACTAAATAATGATATTTTAACAAATCTAAACGTCATTAAATAAATATATATATATATAAATCAGTGACACATGCATTGCTGCAAACACAGTGGATGTCTTGCTTTCACTAACTCCAGGTGTTAAATTGAATTTTTAGTAATTTATAGTTTTGACTCATATATGGGAATGTTTATGAACTTTTACGAAACTGAATACAGTAAAAATACTCATCGTTTTACTTAGCATCACTATATCAAAGAACGATGTGGACTTAAGAAAAACACTCAAAAGCTCGAAAGAACACATTACATGGGGTATTCGCAAAGGAGAAAATTTAATAGCTAACTGGGCCCGTATTATACTAAATGCTTCACATAGGATACTTAAAACTCTTTGGCCACCATGCAAAACGAAACACAATCGTCCTTGATTACCTTAAAGATGCATACAAAGTCAATTTTTTGTCACAAAAACCAACCAAATGCCAGCATATAGTTTCAAATAGTATAACTAAGAGAATTACCAAAAGGCATTGTTTGATTTTACCCGAAAATGATGTTTGAACAGATTTTTCTGCTGGCATTCTAAGCTGTATGTCAATGGGGCAGGAAAGTAGGTCACGGAAGTAGGTTAAATTTACAACCATAAATTTAAAGAAAGGAGCAGTCTAAAGGTCTTTTGTGGCTGATCGAGTGATCTATTCAGTTTATTCCTTGGCATGTCGAATTTATTTGAGTCATACAAGAATCTAGTAGAAGTGGTTTACATGTGTTACTGGGAATCCACACTCCACCGATGCTCGGTTCGTATGTACCTTTAACACGGTGATTAAACACATTGAAGGCGCAAATGATTCCCTTTGTTTCAGATGTATGTGCTGGTAATCCCTGCAATGAAGGCACCTGTTACCCAAATGTGCACTTATACAGCTGCATTTGCCCGTTAGGCCAATACTTTAACGGCACTACCTGCACCAATCACACAGGTAAGATTTTCCAATGAAAGACTGTATGAAGAATAAAAAAGTTAACAGAATAAGAACGTAGTAAAATGGTGTGATTTTCCTTGAAATAAGTTGTTCGATTCGTTTAAAGAATGGGTTGCTTGCTGTGACAACCGTTTCAATGCAATGATAAACGGTTAGTCGTGTAACGTGATATAGATTAATATGCACTCAACGTTTAAGTACTCACTGTGTTCGTCTTTAATTTATCTCGCGTTAAGGTTTCATGACGATTTTGAAGATCTTTTATGTTAACAGTTCTCAGTTGTCGATTGTTTCATAACATTTGTGTACTTCTAGACGCAAGTGGAAAAACTGGAAAAATAGCCACTAGTATCGTTTGTGGCGATACCGAAGTGACCATTCAGTACGCGGAGAGCTCGGACACGTTCTCTCCGCCCAACAACGAAGGTATTGTCTACGTGGACAAACACTACAGCCAGGCTGGATGTTACGTGCAGCAGCCTCCATGGGTCCTTACGGTCCCATATGGGCAATGCGGCGTCGTGCAAGACCAAGAATTCACAGTCATATTGCAACATGATAAGGATTACTACCTAGAAACCATAGATGAAGCCCAACCCTTCACTTGCAAACGTCAACCGTACGACACCACAATACATAACATAACTAACATAATGGCGGAAGTCATTGTGCTTCTTGAATTTGACCAACCTGTGAAATATGAAGGAGTTGGTTCGTTTGCTATCATGAGGCTGTTTCGATCTAAAGACAACAGTAGCATATTACCAAACGGTCCCCCGGTGGTTCTGGGTGAAAATATCACCATGCAGTTAATCTTGGGGAAAATTGGCGAACGCGAGATGAAAATTAAGGTTGAGCGATGTTGGGCTAATGGCATCACAGATACCAATGAATGGAAAACTCTAGAACTACTCTCTGGCGGGTGTCCAGTCGTCCCTTTCTTTAACGGATTTAGCCGAGGGTCGTCCCAATATGTGGCCATTTCAACATTTCCTATGTTTCGTATCACGCCACGGAATCCAGCGAACGGAACCATGGGGTTTTTCTGCTCGGTGGCAGCCTGTATGGAAGGAAACATGAACCCAGAATGTGTGGAATCGCAGTGTCCAGGCAATAAGCCAGGGTGGGGGAAAAGGAAACGACGGGATAAACCGCGAGATAATTATGTCACGACGGTTAATCAAAATGGCGTCGACGTGATGTCGTTTGGGTATTATTTCAAAGTCGTTGACTCCGAGAACGATGGACAGATGAAAGTTCACATGGGTTCTAATTACGTACCGCAGATCATCAGCACCACTGATACCACCATCACCACCACCACCACCACCGCCACCACCAATAATCCGGTTCTGACAACTAACGCTACCACAAGCATTGACGTAAAGAAAACAAATACAAATCTATTTGTTGCTTTTTCTGTTGTCTCTGGTTTGTTATGCGTGCTCTTTGGGAGTTTTCTTCTCTGTGGAGGGGTAATCCTGTGTAAAAGCATGTTCTCTAATTAGACACAAAAGTAGGTCATTAACTTCAAAATGCAGTAGTATTTTGAACAAGTAAGATTATCTGTGAGGATGATTGACAACTGCATTCAATTTTAGAAAATACCCCAGAAGGCAGACACCAGGCTGGAGACGAAAGCTGTCTGTTAATGTTATCGCACCGTCCCTTAACAACAGTTGAAGTTCAGAGCATCTCTGGCTTGCTTTTTTTATAATAGAAATGATAATTTATTAAGCACAAAATTTATTTTATTTTTACAGGATCTCTTACTATTGTAGTATACAATGAAATACAATATATGATAGATATATGCGACCCCATCTAATACCTTTTGGGTATTGTAAAAACAGAAGTTTGACACTGATTGTTTATTGAGGGATCTGCTTTTTGGCATTTTTATTTTTCACAAATCGAACTATGGCAGCCGCCCTGCACAGAGGGCGAGCTTAAAAGGATGGAAAGGTGCATGACATAGTCTGTTGGACCCTGCAAATTCTCCTACGGGAACACAGTGAACGGTAGTCCTTACAGCAGTTATACAAGATGTTTATGAGAGGCAATATCATGCAATAGGCAAATTTGTGGAAGTCACCTTTTGTATTTTGTTGAAATATAGTGGTCAGTTTTTTAATTTATATTCAAGATTTGATGCATTATTTCATTCGTTGAACTTTCTCGGTTTGCTTTTAGAGCACTTCATGAATTAAAGTCTTTGTTTGTTTGATATCTTTTTTTCAAGTTTTAGAACACTTCATGAATTAAAGTATTTGTTTGTATGATATCTTTTTTAAAGATTATTCGAACACTACTCTAGACTTGAGGTCAGGAGGTGCATCCGCCATCTTGACATGGTAAAGCTCATCAAACTCTTCATTCTGGGCCACTGTAAACCAGTTCTTCCAGTCGGCAACTTGACCTGAATTACAAGAAATGCATTGCTGCTACGATGTTTCTTTAAAAAAATAAATGATGTCACTCCTGAGTGTGATGTTCTATTAAACTTGAGGGTCGATCCACTCAGACGTGATGACAACTCTTCATTTTGGCTAAAAAAAGTGCCATAAAATGGATTTCCCTGGAGTAATCGATAACTCTGTTACACTTCCAAATAGTTTTAACTAGATCTTTTCGGACATTCAAAGTTGGACGATTTTTTAAATGTGTTTTTGTAATAATCTCAAGATAATAATAACACATCCGCTTAACGTGATCAATTAATAAACGTGTTTGTAAAACAGCAACTTAACGAAGACGAGTGAGAGGGAGAAAGACCCCCCCCCCCCCCCCCCCC